GCCTTATTTCTTTCTTTCGGTAATAAGTCTAATGAATTCTAACTTTTTGTCTTTCTCGTTCACTCTATCTATCTATCTATCTATCTATCTATCTATCTATCTATCTATCTATCTATCTATCTATCTATCTTCGTTTGTTTCTCTTTGTATGTACCCTAATTTTTCTTTCTTTCTACCTTTCTTTCTTTCTAATAAATCTGTGTCATTTCCCATTTTCTTTCCTTTTTTATTTTTTTCTTTCTTTCTTTCTTTCTTTCTTTCTTTCTTTCTTTACTACTCTTTTCTATATTCAGTTACGTTTATCTTTCTTTCATTCATGTTTTTCTGTCTTTCTTTTCTCGTATTTTTATAGACGTTTGTCTTTTTCGCGCGTCTCTTTCTTCCTTTTTTTTCTTTCTTATTTATAAATCTGTGCTATTTCTGGTTTTCTTTCCCCATCAAGATGTCTTCCTTTCTTTCTTTTTTCTTCCTTTCTTTCTTTCTTCTTTCTTTCTTTCTTTCTTTCTTTCTTTTTTTCTTTCTTTGTGATAAATCTGTGCTATTTCCGGTTTTCTTTCCCCGTCAAGCTTTCTTTCTTTCTTTCTTTCTTTCTTTCTTTCTTTCTTTCTTTCTTTCTTATTGTCCAGGTTGCTTTTTTCCCATCCCTCTCGAAAACCATTCACGTCTTCCTGTTTCTCTTCTCAAATGTATCGTTTCTCATCATTAACGTCTGACAGCTTACCGAGCGGCCTCATTGCAATTTAATTTACTCGCCAAATTCGCCATGTTGTGCATTATATCTCTTTGCCTAACTGATCACCACACCAAGTGATAGCCCCCTGGTTAGACAATTGATATCAACTTTCGCTCAGATAACTTAATCGGATCTCTCCGAATATATCTGTTCGCAGTTTTACGCAAGACATGCTACAGCGTGTTTGACAAGTGCTGGTCTACCGATGCGTGTCGTATCACAGGTGCTGCGAATACGGAACATTTATGAAAACTTTGTGAAATCGGTTATAAAATCTACATCACTTTAAATATCTTGTTCGAATTTTGATAAATAAATATTTTATTGTTCGACAGGAAGCTTTACTTACTTTGTTCGCTTGGGACATGAAGTTACTCAGATATTCGCATTTCAAAAAATATAAGTTTTTTGGGGACGCTATATATATATATATATATATATATATTACATGAATCATTCATACAAAAAAACAAATATATATATATATATATATGAATGATTCATTTAATTATGAAGTGAACTGCACTATATATATATATATATATATATATATATATATATATATTATAATAAAAATAAAGAACAGTAAAGAATATAATCCAGTGTTCTTATTGATATTTTATTTTAAAAAACAGTGTTCAATGTAAATTTATATATATATATATATATATATATATATATATATATATATATATATATATATATATATTTTTTGAAAAACAAACAAAAATCCATAAATGTAGTTAAAAATGAAAGAATTGTCGACGTCATTTTAACTACATTTATGGATTTTTGTTTGTTTTTCAAAATTTCTACATTCTGTCGGATTTATCCATTTACACTTGCTTTATATATATATATATATATATATATATATATATATATATATATATATATATATATAAAAGGGAACATTGAAGTCAGAGCCTCAGAGTGTTGATTTCAATGTTCACATTTATATTTATTTTACATACGCCCTATCTCTGATACTGAGCACTTTATCTCAAAAAATATAGTACAGCTTAAAACTATATTTTTCATTATATATATATATATATATATATATATATATATATATATATATATATATATATATATATATTAAATCAAAACAGACCACTTTAAGGTTCCATGTAATAAATTATTTCACCAGAGCCCTTTTAAAAGGACTGTGGATCATCTGACTTTACTTCCAAACAAAAAAAGAAAAGAAAATTTACATATTTTTGACGGGCCGTATTCAACATATGTAAATTAACGAAGTGAGGAAGTGAGGGGGGCGAGAGAAGACATGAGTGAGTTTGCAGATATTGACACATTTAAACGGTTAACTTAACGGAAGTTATATATTGATATCGAAGGGGTAGAGAAGAAAAAACCCATAGAGAGAAAAAGAGAGAAGGAAGTTAAGAGAGAAGAGAAGAGAAGATGTCACTAATTTTCTTTCTAAAAAAAAAGCTAGAAACAGACGCTGTTATCTTACTTTACTTTGAAAGTGTTATTTTGAGTTTACCCATACGGATTACCTAGTTTTTCATATATATATATACATACATATATATATATGTATATATATGTGTGTGTGTGTGTGTGTGTGTGTGTATAAACGTAATCGTACTTACTACTCCCCAGACTGGAATTACCTTGATCTTATATGTCGGGCACAGTTGATTGAGAGAGCAATAAAATTCCTTGTAACAACAAAGATGACCTAAGTTAAGAATTATGGGGTGTATTCATCAACTAAAATATGGAGACCGTTCAAAAGAATTGCCAGAGATTCCGAAGTCGTTTAGAAGCCGTGTTTGAAGCCAATGACAATTTTATAAAAGATTTTGAATCTTTGGTATTTGAAGGTATTTTTGCAATATTTGGTAAATATATCTCTTAAAATGAGATGTCAGTGTTACTTTTATTTTTTCGTGAATTAGGTGTATGATGATTTTCTAAAAATAGTACCAAAATAGACCAAAAGTATAAGGTACCCAGTGAGGATCGAACTAACTATTCAGTCGTAATTGATCTAACGAGACATATATATATATATATATATATATATATATATATATATATATATATATATATATATATATATATATATATATATATAACTGGCCTTATATACATATGGTAGATAATGAATATTATATATATATATATATATATATATATATATATATTCCGTCATTTTTTCTTTACTATTAATTTTCCTGCTTTTCTTTCTTACTTTATTTTATACCATTAATTTTCCCATTCCTACTTTTTTTCTTTTTCTTTTCTTTCTTTCTTTCTTTCTTTTACATATACATATATATGAATACTTATCAATCACAAATGGTTCATATTTGTTCTCTCTCTCATCTATCTATCTGCAAACCTACAAAAAGTATAATAACAATATTAGTCACTGATTACAAACCCACACTTTCTCCCCCAGAGAGATCAACCGAAATATAAAGATATATATATATATATATATATATATATATATATATATATATGTATGTATGTTGGTATAGTGTAAACAAAGTGGCTATTTTTCACATGATGTTATAACATATTTACGTTATAATTTTACAAAATCAATATATATCCGTATAGGATACAGGTCTAATTCCTGTCGGAAGACAAATATTTTCTATGAAAATTTCTCGGACATTCAGGTCGGTAAATGTTGTTAATACTGTTTATTATAAAACAGAGCATTTACTTAAATATTTGTATCCATAAAAAAGAATGTATAAATAGAAAAAATGTCCATTCTATCTATCACAAAGTTTTCATATTTCGTTCTTTTCCTTGCTCGAACTATCTATTCATTCATTCATCATTCATTCATCTATCTATCTATCTATCTATCTGTCTGTCTGTCTGTCTGTCTGTCTATCTATCTATGAGTCCTTTATTAAGTCCTAATGATGCAATGAACATGTTTATGACGGATACTATTTGCGTTCCTATCCGATTGCTTGTCTTGGCTTTTGTTTCAAATGACTACAAGTGGATTACTTATTATTCACTTGATTAAAAAGATTCGTATTTCCACCGGGAAGACAATGATAAAATATTAGAAGCAGTAAATAAAGAAGAAAAAGTGACAACTATAAATGCTTGTTTAATTCACAGGTCAAAAATCGTATAAATTACGGACAAACGATTTCTTTTCGATTTTCAAGTGTGCTTTCCTTTTCATCGAGATAATGTTTGGCGATTTTATCAAGCGTTCTGTTTGCATGATTGCAATTATTTGAAGCGTCCTGACAGTTCGAATAATGTAAATAGTAAATATAAGATACATTAAGGCTATATTTTATATATATATATATATATATATATATATATATATATATATATATATGTATATATATTTACGCATATATAAATATATATATATATATATACATACATATCTAGTATATATATACCAAAGCAGTCTTCGAAGTTTCGTTGACGCATTATAATAAATCCTTCACTCTTCTGGACTATTGCCTTCTCAGCAATCAATTAAGTGACAACTTTCTCCAATTTTAATTAGGCACCTGAAAATTTTAACAATTTTAATAATAATAATAATAATAATAATAATAATAATAATAATAATGATTAATACAAAAAAATGTTCTGACAATACAAAAATTGTTCTGAC